TTTTGTTTGTTTGTTTTTCTCCGGTACCAGGAACTGAACTCACGACCTTGCGCTTGCCAGGCAGGCACTTTGCCGCTGAGCTAAATCCCCAGCCCCGGGGTTGGAATTTTCTAATAACTTCAATTTTGCTATTTAGAGGGTTGGGAGTCTGGGACAGCTGATGTTTTCTGGTTTTGCGAGAGGGTCCAAGTAGTGGTATCATATTAGTAACAGTCCTTAGTGGATAAGCTCTCTTCCGTGCTTAAGAGGGAACTTTTTTTAACAGTGAATTTCCCACAGAAAACCCTTCCCTGAAGAAGTGGTGTTGGTGCACTGAGATAGCAACAGGTACATCAGCCCCTGGCCCCCTAATCTGAAGGTGAAAATATTCACAGGCAAGTGGACCGGATGGTGAGGGCTTGCCTGAGAGGTGCCAGTGGGGCCCACTGGGTGCTGGATCCCACATCTCACTTCCTATTCTTGAAGTCTTTTCTGTGCTGTTTTCAAGAGGGCTCTGCTAATAAATTGCGCTAAGAGGCAGTAAAAGAAGCTACTTTTAAAATAATCAGTTTTCACCCTGGGTGTGGGTAATCTTTTCACTGTGGATTTCTCTAGGCTGGGGCAGTGGGTGAACACCACTGTCACAGACCAAACAAAGCCATCCCAGTCGGGTAGGGTCCAGCCACACAGGAGATATGGGATGTAGGTAAGGTGGGTAATCTTTGCAATTCTGCATTTCACATGAATGACTTTCTTGGTAATAAACCGGTCACTTGTTTACCCAGTAGATATGAATTAATTCTTTTTGTTTGTTTGTCTTATTGTTTTTGGCAAAGATGCCTTGCTTGGTGACTGAGTATAAATTTAGCAGTGAACTAGACTAAGCTATTTCTCTTGGGGTATAAAAATACATACGTTGTTTAAAAAAAAGAAAAGTTTCGTAAGAAAACACCACAGTAATTCAGAGAAGTAGTGGAGGGTTTCACAGGAGACCTGCAGAAAATGTGGATTCAGTTGACTCCCCCAGCTTTCCTCCCTCCTGTATTGTGTACTGTGCCCAAGCTACTGCAGAGGGGCTTCCACCAATAATGAACAACTGTAATGAGAAAGAAGGCCTCATGACTCTTGTCAAACAGTCACACAGTTTGGTACAAGGAGATCAACAGCAAATAGGAAAGCACTATGAAGAAAACAAAGTGCAGTGATAGGTAATCATTTTAACGTTTTAAAAAAGTTTGATTTTCAGGTTGTTTTCCAGTATCCCTTATTAGTCAAGTACAAAGATCTCTGTGAATGCCTGTTTTTGAGTGCTCTTCTCCCCTTCTCTTTATAGCATACATAAAAGGTGGGTGGATCCTTAGGAAAGCCTGGAAGATTTACAATAAGTGCTACCTGGACATCAATGCCCTTCAGGAACTGTATCAGAAGAAGCTAACTGAAGAGCCCTTGACTTCTGATGCTGCAAATGATAATCACATTGTGGCTGAAGGGGTGACTGAGGAGTCCCTAAACAGACTGAAAGGTGCTGTGAGCTTTGGATATGGCCTTTTTCACCTTTGCATATCCATGGTGCCCCCAAACCTGCTCAAAATCATCAACCTGCTGGGTTTTCCTGGAGACCGCCTACAGGGGCTTTCTTCACTGATGTATGCAAGCGAAAGTAAGGACATGAAGGCCCCTTTAGCTACGTGAGTAGCTATATTGCAATGCTTTGGTAGATAATATAGTGTTGAAAGTAAGTAAAGGTCTTAAAGCTACAACCAGGACCATGTTCTGGGCTGGTGGCGGTGGTGTAAGCTGCATTAGTTAGACTACAAGACACGTTCTTTAGGACTCATGAGTCCTGTATTGTCACCAGGTAAAGTGACCTTATCATTTACCCTCCAGTGATTTTATATGCAGTCTTTGTGGCTTTGATCATAGTCACTGAGATGCATGATCATGATTTGGATTTATCAGATACAAGTTTGATAAGCCTTTTCTGTGGGTCTGAAATTTTTGTTCTTATAGAGAATCCTCGTATTGGATCATTGGCCTTGATGCCTTGATGTTTGTAGTTGGTCAGTTGGTCTGTTAACGTGTGGCTTGGATATTTTGTGCTATTCTATATGGGGTCATGTTACACTGTTAAGTGGAGGGGAACTGGTGTGACCATGCAGAGCAAAGACAAGTACCTGCTTTTACATAGGTTAAAACGATGTCATTTTACAAACTCAATCTGGCCAAGAACTACCATTTGTGATTTGAACAGTTTTATCAGCTACTAGCTGTTCTTTGTCTGACGTAACACTACTTGTCAAAATTTTTTAAAAAATTGTTGACATTGGAGAGAACCTTGGTAAGACATACTTCCACTCATCAGTACTGAGGAGTTAGGATGTTAACTCTTAATCAGTTGATTGTTATTTAAAAACCATAAATTTTTCGTTCGAAAAATATTTGTGCCCCCTAAACTCATTCTAATGGTCCATTATTCTTTGAATTAACAGATTTGTAGCTGATGATCATTCCTGTTTATATTTTAATATTATTTCATGCTTATCTGTGAGAAAGAAATGAGTGGAATTAATGTTAGTGTGATTTCTATAAGTGAACTGAATTTATGAGCACATTAGGTGTATATATTTACATGAACATATTTAGTGTGCAGGCTAAACATTTTTGTCTTTTCATTAATGCGGATCTCAGTGACTGTTCTGTTCACTAAGTTTATCCCAACATTTTTCCTTAATGAGTTTTAAGTAAGGAACTTTTAAATAGAAAGGACCTTTCATCTGTTCCTCTGACTTATTTTAACTTAATGTAATATAATTTGTGACTATGGGTTCTATATTTGAATTTGTATTCTGAGACACTCTGTAACTTTTGTAAGCACAAGAGAAAGTCACGTTTTTCTTTTACGAAAAGTAAAAGCTTTTATTACAAGGGGCAGTGAGTTCACAGTGACTGTGCATTGCTTTGATTCCTAAAGTGTCGAATTCAGGGATTTATATCAGTTTATCTTCAGCAGTCTACTTCCAAGGGGTAACAAAGCTGAATGCTTGTGTTGCCTCTTCTCACCTGATGGGAGTATGCTGATGTACATGTTGTGCCAGTTTTCCAAATACTGACAAAACTAATATGGGAAAGACTCTGATTTTAGTTCTTTGAAGACTGCATAGTAAGTCTTTCAGGAGTGTGGCGGGGGAGAGCACTTAATGCTGTGTCTGAAAAGGGGAAGAATCTACGAGTACCGCGCTCAAAGTCTGTCTTTCCCTCTGCAGACTAGCTCTCCTCTGGTACCACACCGTCGTCCGCCCATTTTTCGCCTTGGATGGCAGCGATAACAAAGCAGGCCTGGATGAAGCTAAGGAAATTCTTCTCAAAAAAGAAGCTGCGTATCCAAATTCTTCCCTCTTTATGTTTTTCAAGGGACGGATCCAGCGATTAGAGGTACAGTGCCTTCCTCGTCTTTTTAAAATAAAGCCGCTGATGATCACATCCCTGAGCGCTGCTTGGGGCCCAGCATGGCTGAGCCAAAATGTCGCAGGCCCAGGAACATGGAGTTCTTGTGCCTTCCACTGCATCACTCTGAGGAAGGCTCTTCCAGGAAGCCAGGGTGTTCGTCAGTTACCTTCTGTTCCAGGCTGTGGGCGAAGCAGGGGCGAGTCCTCATTGGTAATGAGACATGATTGGGGTGCTTGAAGCTAACAGCATATGAGCATTATTAAGTCACTTAGGTGGAGAACACACAATGCAATTTCTCCTCTCTGGGTTACTAATAAACTAGTTCTAAATTTTGATCTGAGCTAATAATTGACTTGGACAAAAGTCAGTACCTTAAATGTCAGAACAGCATCAGCTTTGAGATAATAGTAGCATTGTCATGTTTCAGGCGCTTCATTTGGCTGGGTGCTGGGCCAGGAGCTTTTCACGCACAGGCCCACTTGCTTTGCAGAGCAACCCTGAGCAGAGATAAAGCATAAGCTGCAGGTTATGTAGAGGAGATGGGTACCCAGAGGGAGTCCAAAACTTCTGACCTTTCCCAGCAACAAGCCTAGGAGTCCCTGTACAACACCAGAACTTGCCTGGCCTCTGGAGGCTTCCTCTTCTCCTTCCCCTGCTTGCTCACACCCATGAAAAAAATTACAAGAGAAAAGATTCTTCATATATATGAAGAAGGTGGCCCTTATGCTTTATTTTTCTCCTCCTCTTTGTTTCTCAGTTTCTTTCGAAAGTTGAGAAACAAAGTCTAGGGCTGAGGGTGGAGCTCCGTGGTGGAGCATTTGCCTAATGTGCGCAAGGCCCTGAGTTCAATCCCAAGTGCCACCTAAAAAGGTCTAGAAATAAAATATTTTTTTCCTATGTGCTTATGTATATTGGCTTCCTCTACTTCTTCTAGGAACTTTATTCCAGTACTTATTTCACTACCTTCCCTACCATCCTGAAAACGTGCAAATAACCCTTCACCCCATGCATGATTTCACGTGTACAACTTGCAAGGCACTGGGGATAAAGAGATGATTATAAAAAAAATCTGTACCTTAAACAATTTAATCCAGGCAAGGAAATATATATGAAACGAATTCTATTTATATACTGTTTTAAATATAATAATATACATGTGTCCAAGAGGGAGAGATGGCATTGATGAGAACCATTCTTAAACTCATGTCATACCAACCCATTCCTTACAAATACTTACCAGCAAATCCATTTGCGGTTTTAAGAGCAGCTGTCCTTGGGTTGAGCAGGCGCGCCTCCAGAACTTAGCTGCAGTGGTTTCCAGGAGCACCTCTGGAGATTCTTTTTTCTTTTGCTGAAGAATGATTTGTTTCATGAGCTCAAGGATGATTCACTCTTCCTCTTTCTTTTTTCTTTTCAACTTTCTTTCCCTTCCTCTCCCTTTCTTCTTCTTCAGGGCAGCTCTACAATTGTTTCTTTTTTCCATCATGAAGTGACTCCTTAAATCTGAAGAGCAGTTTTCTAATTTTAAATCTCAAAGCCCCCCGCATATGCATGTATATATGAAAATATATCTTAGCAACCATGGTAATAGTTGATCACTGGAACTGTATAGAAAGCTGACCAGGATTTGAATTATTTAAACCCATGTTTGAGTTATTTTTCCTTCTATTATCTTGAAATGGTTTTTCTTTGGATTCAAACTCAGGAGCCTTTGGTTGTATTTCTTCATTTCTTTCTCTTCCTCTTTACAAAGCATGGTTCTGATCCATCTCTTGTACAGTCAGGGAAGATTAGTTTCCTTTCAAGATCAGATGGTGGCCCTACTTGCAGGAAAAGATACTCAGGCTATTCCTATTAAATTTTTCTGTTCTCTTGAATTTGTGCACAAAGAAATAAGACTGTAGAAGGAAATTTTAAATAGACTAAGCCTTCATGCTCTACTGACTATTTCTGAACTGAACGTTGGGTATAGGAGGAGTACTTTCTTAGATTGAAACTTCTTAGAAAGCTAGCATTGTACATTTTGAGGTGCTTTGAATATCACAACGCAGGTTGAGCATCCCTAATCCAAATTCCAAAATGTTCCATAACGTGAAGCTTTTTGAGCCCCAACTTGATGCCACAGGTAGAAAATTACACACCTGACCTTATGTGATGGGTCTGAGTCACAACATAGAAGCACTGGAAGTGCTGTGTACAGTGACCTTCAGGCTGTGTGTATAAGTTGCATATGAAACACATAAGAACTTTAAGTTTAGACTCCACTCCCAAGATGCCGTATTATGTATGTGCATGGAGATAGATAGATAGACAGACAGACAGATAGATAGATCTGTTTATATATTTATATAGATATCTCCATACACAAATATTCCCAAATCCAAAACTCAAAGCACTTCTGGTCTCCGGCCTTCAGGTGAGGAATACTGAGCCTGTTCTAGATTCAGCGTTTAGCGGAGATTTGTTGCCTGGTGGTGAGAACCTAACCCTGAACATGGTGTGCAACACAGCGGTGTATGCTGAGGGCCACAGCACTGGGCGCTCATTAGAATCTCTTCCTTCTCTCCACTGATGAATGAACGCTTCACAGTATTTTGAAGGTGTTGAGCAGAAAAGTAAAATTTATATTTTGATATGCTTGCTGCTAAGTTAATTTTTCATTTTAAAATGAAAATGCTTAATTTTTACTTCAACATTTATCCTAAAAATATCCTTAATTTTTCATCAGTTCAAGTTTTTTCCCCCAAAAAACGTAACAGCCTCATGATTTTAGTTTGTGCCACAGTCCTGCCAGTAAGGGATGGAGCAATGCCAAAAGCTAGTGGGCCTTCACTGTTGCCAGGATAGTTCTAGAAGAAGGAACTTGCAACTCCTCAGAGGATTCTTACAGGTACAGTTTTTACATGTGTATACTTCTCATTGTGCCTCTAAGGTTTTGTTTGTTTGGTAGTACTGCGTACTGAACCCAGGACCTTTGTGCTGAGTACCTAGCCCTTTTTTTATTTTTCATTTTGAGATAGGGTCTTGCTGAATGGGTACGTTGCCTAGGCTGGACTGGAGCTTGGGATCCTCTTGCCTCAGCCTCCCAGAGTGCTGAGATTACAGAAGTGCACCATTGTGCCCAGCTTCCTTTCCTTTTAGAGAGTAGGTACTGGATGTTAGAACTCCTTTGCAGTGAAGTAGGTTGCTTACTTAAGTGGCTTGAAGGGAAAGGACATAAGATCTATTACTGTTCTTGTTTAATAACTGTAGGGACAAGCAAAATGTGGTGTTTATATTTAGCTCTTCCCAAAGGATGAAAAGATTTGAGCGCTTTCTTGAAATACGATTGCTGTTCTGAAGGTGCTCACACATCAGCATTTCACTACTGTTCCCGAGCCACAGTGGCAGAAGTTACTGGAAGATGGCACCCTTCATTTGCGGTTGAAGAACTCGGTCCCGGGAGCTGGGGTATGGCTTCTGTGACACCTCTGAAGCCCTGACTCTCCTGTGAAAGTGTGCAGGGCTCTGTTGGTGAATTTGCTTGCACAAACTCCTTCTCCGTGTCAGTTAGCATTTAGATGAGTGATCGAGGGCCCTAAGAGCTTTCTGTCAACACAGAGCGTGTGACACTCAGTTTCTTCAGAAACTGCCAGACTCTTTTACTGACATCTTTTAAAAAATATCTGCCAGTTTTAACTTTTTGCTCTTCATGTTTGCAGTATGTAACAGTTACATTCCCCGTGGGGAGTTGGTGTGTGGGGAAGCCAAACACGTTCAGCAGCAGCTTTGGTGTCAGCTTGCGCTCAAGACTGACTAGTTCACTGGAGGACCACCAATTTCCGCTTTTCTGTGATTGTTGTTTGTGCATCCCGTGCACTTGCCACTTTCGTCTGAGCAGGGAGGCCTTCTGCTTACCTTGCCCTTCATCATTTGGGACCACTCCACGTGGGAGGAGGGTGTTTGTAGTGGAGCTGCTCCTCTCCTGCACTTCCGTGAGCCTGGTTGTAGTGGCGTCACTCTTCTCTGCTGCTGTAGTCTCCCGTCATGTGGCTGTCGAATGCTGCGCCTCAGCTGGTGGGAGCAGGAAGAATTCTCCTCTGTCACCGCCTCCTCTTGTCCCCACTGAATCCTGCAGTGCCCCGCCCGAAGCCTCCACCGCCCAGCAGAGGTGTCCTTCCTCCCATTCTGGTCTAAGTCTTGGCCTCTCCTCTGGTCCTTCTCAGTTACTGTTACGGCATGTGGTGACCACTGTCGAAGTGACAGGTGTGATGGTAGTTGTGCACCTGTCTTAGTAATTTTTTTCTCGTTGCTGAGATAAAATACCCAATGCCCAAAATCAAGAAAGGAAAGGTTTATTTAGCTCGCAGTTTGTGGAGGTTTCAGTCCATATTCAGCTGGCTCCAAGGCAGAGTGGCATGGCACAGGAGCAGCAGTCCAAGGCAGTGGAAGACAGCAGAAGCAACAAGAGCAAAAGTGGGGAGAAGCAAGCCTCCTTCCCTACCTTGTATTGTATGCAGGCCATCCACTCCACACCATCTTTACACCCACACCATCTCTATGCCTTCCTTTTCCACAAGCTCAGGATGTTTACAAAGTAAGGATCCTGGCTCCCTGCTGAATTAAGCTTTTAAACTTCTCAAGTTGACACATTGTATCAAGCATTATAGCATCTTACTGAGTGCTTAAACCTGGGAGGTAGGGTATCAATTTTTCTTCTCTTCTTTTTTGGCAAAAAGAATTTATCTTGGTATTAAGAGCTGGCAATAAAGCTAGGGCTGTAATTGGCAAAATGGGTATGTGACTAGCTATAGGGGCTAATAGCATAACAGACATACTTACTCTTTCCTAAATTTATGTATTGCAAACAACTATTAGGTATTTGGTGCATGACTTATATTCTTAACTTTTAAATGTGAGCAGGTAGATAATTGGTTTTAGTTTTTGCATTAATTTTTATCCACTTAAACCTATACTAGTGTTAAGTCTATTCAGATGCAAGTGAT